GCTACCTACTTCATCATGTCTCCAAAATACAAGGAATAGGATTCAGGATCTCAGAATCCGTACCGAGTAAATCAAAAGACACAAATCCATAAATAGGAGTTTGTTAAGAACTCAGGATTAAGATCATTCTATATATGACCATCGGTAGACTCAATTAGAATTTCTATACTTAACGGAAATTATTAGAAATTCATATTTGTCTGTGTCCTTGTTCCACATAATCTCATTATGCGAAATACACTCATTCAATATCTCACCATATTAACAGTGCGGATAACACCGTTCCATTCTAAATGGGAATGACATGTATTAATAATGTTTTAATTAAAGATTCTGAACTTTAATTAAATTCATTATGAACATTGCTTTTTGATTATTATCCTTAAACATTATCCTCTCATATATAACACTTATATACAATGTTTAAGGTTACATAAATAATCATGGAATTTTCATTGATATTCATAAAATATTCATAAATATATGCACATAAAATAATGAATAAACTCTTTTATTAAATAAATAATAAATATCCTATTACATCTCATGCTTCTAGGACATCATTCCCAACATTTACCCCTTGGGGTCGTCGTCTTAGGAAATTCCTTAGAATTTCACTAAGTGTTTGTCTTTTCTCCTTGGAGGATCTGACGTCGAATTTACCCCTTGGGGTCGTCGTCTTAGGAAATTCTTTAGAATTTCACTAAGTGTTTGTCTTTTCTCCTTGGAGGATCTGACGTCGAATTTACCCCTTGGGGTCGTCGTCTTAGGAAATTCCTTAGAATTTCACTAAGTGTTGTTTTTAATTGATCCGCGGGCGGACCCCTATGCCCCCATGTCCGTTTAATATAGCCTTGGTTTCTTAGGCAGACATGTTATTAAGGGGTGACTTCATATTTTTCTGCAAATATATCAGTGTATTCAATTTATAAAGAATGCACAATTGAAATACGTAAAAATTTCACACGCTATTGGTAGTACAGCCTTAGCTGTTCGGCGTTCCATGGGTGTTGAACTCTTCTGCCGCCGAGGCTTTCCAAAATGTAGGTGCCAGGACGTAGTATTTCCTTTACGCGGTAGGGTCCTTCCCAAGTTGGGCCCAGGGGACCAGTATTTTTGGGTTTTGTGCTCTGCGTTACCCTTTTTAATACTAGGTCTCCTGGGTTGAACCTTCTCTGCCGGACTTTCTTGTTGTAGTATCGTGTCGTGCGTTGCTAATAAGCGGCGAGACGTAGTTGAGAGTCGAGTCATTTTTCTTCCAACAAATCGAGTTCTCCATTCATGCCCTCTGCGTTGTCAGCATCATTGTGGACAACTGTTCTTAGAGTAGGCGTTTCGATTTCTATGGGAAACACTGCCTCGACGCCATATGCCATGGAGAAAGGTGTCTCACCCGTTGTAGTTCGGCTGGTTGTTCTGTATGCCCATAAGACTTTGGGAAGCTCCTCGGCCCATCTCCCTTTTAGGTCGTCGAGTCTTCTTTTAAGGGTGTATTTCAATATTTTATTGACTGCCTCGACTTGCCCATTTGATTGTGGATGGATTGGCGCCGAGAAGTCTTTTCGGATGCCCAAACTGTCACAGAACCTGCGTGTTGAGGCGTTGTCGAACTGTTTCCCGTTGTTGGACACTATTGAGTGGGGAACCCCAAACCTGCACACGATGTGATCCCACATGAATTCGGTGCAGGCTGCTTCCGTGGTTATAGCTAGGGCCTTGGCCTCAGCCCACTTTGTGTAATAGTATACCGCAACGATCGCAAATTTAAACCCCCCAGGCGCAGGATGCAATGGCCCGATCAGGTCAACCCCCCATTTGACAAAGGGCCATGGGCTGAGAATGGAAGTTAGCTTTTTTGGGGGTGCTCTAGGAATCGTGGCATATCTTTGGCATTTATCGCATCGTCGGGCGTATTGAAAAGTGTCCTTTTTTAGCGTAGGCCAGTAGTATCCTTGCCTCAAAACCTTTAGAGCTAAAGATTGCCCCCCGGTATGATTGCCACAGATCCCTTCATGGATTTCTTGGAGGACCTTCTGGGCTTCGGCATCATCTAGGCACCGCTGTAGAGGTGTTGAGTAGCCTCGTCGATAGAGCAGGCCATCGTATAATAAGTACCTAGCAGCTCTATACCTGACTCGCCGGGCTTCGTCTTTATTATTCGGCAGCTGCGCGTCCATTAGGTATTGTGTGAGTGGCGTCATCCAATTTTCACCTTCTTGGACACTTAATGCCTTTGCTTGCTCCTCGATGGTCGGCCGCTCCAATTCTTCAATGGGAACGACGCCTAATGTGTCAGAATCCCTTGATGAGGCCAGCTTTGCCAGGGCGTCCGCGTTTGCATTTTCGGCTCGTGGAATCTGGAGTATTTCGTAGTTCTTGTACTTAACGAGTTCCTCCTTTACTTTTCTCAGATATGCCCCCATCTTCTCGCCGCGTGCTTGGTATTCTTCCTTTACTTGCGCGACGACTAACTGGGAGTCGCTGTAGACGCTTATCCTCTCGACCTTCAGGTGGTTAGCTAAACGTAGTCCGGCAATTAGGGCTTCATATTCTGCCTCATTGTTTGACGCCTTAAATTTAAATCGTACCGCCGAGGTAATCTTGTGGCCTTTGGGGCTGATTAACAAAACGCCGGCTCTTGATCCGTTTTCGCTCGACGCCCCATCTACGTAAAGCTTCCATTTTGTAATCTCAGTTTCTTCAGATGGGGTGGGAGTCGGCCTATGAGAGAATTCAGCCAGAAAGTCGGCGAGCGCTTGGCCCTTAATCGCGGTTCTTAGCACGTCCTTTATGTCGAACTGGCTGAGTTCTACTGACCATTTGAGGAGTCAGCCGGATGTTTCGGGCTTTTGTAGAGCCGTAGCTAAACGTAGTCCGGCAATTAGGGCTTCATATTCCGCCTCATTGTTCGACGCCTTAAATTTAAATCGTACCGCCGAGGTAATCTTGTGGCCTTCGGGGCTCATTAACAAAACGCCGGCTCCTGATCCGTTTTCGCTCGACGCCCCATCTACGTAAAGCTTCCATTTCGTAATCTCGGTTTCTTCAGATGGGGTGGGTGTCAGCCTATGAGAGAATTCAGCCAGAAAGTCGACGAGCGCTTGGCCCTTAATCGCGGTTCTTGGCACGTACTTTATGTCAAACTGGCTGAGTTCTACTGACCATTTGAGGAGTCGGCTGGATGTTTCGGGCCTTTGTAGTGCATGTCTCAGCGGGTGGTTTGTGAGAACTCGTATTGTGTGGGATTGGAAGTAGTGCCGAAGCTTCCTTGAAGCTACCATCAGGGTGAGGGCTAGACGCTCCATTTCGCTGTATCTTGACTCGGCGTCGAGGAGCCTTTTGCTCACATAATAGATCGGCAATTGCACATTTTCTTCTTCTCTTAACAATACGGAGCTCACAGCGTGTTGGGACATGGAGAGGTATAGGCTAAGCTCCTCGCCGACGTTTGGCTTTGATAAAATTGGGGGTTTGCCCAAATGCTCTTTCAATTTTTGGAAGGCCTCCTCACATTGTGGTGTCCACTCAAAGTGCTTGCTTCCTTTCAAAGCGTCGAAGAAAGGGATGCATTTGTCAGTGGCTTTTGATATGAACCTATTTAGGGCGGCGACACAACCCGTCAACCTTTGCACCTCTTTCGGCTTTGTTGGTGACCGCATGTCTTGTAGGGCTTTGATTTTCTCGGGGTTGGCCTCAATCCCACGGTTACTAACCATAAAACTGAGGAACTTCCCCGACCCAACTCCGAAGGCACATTTCTGGGGATTAAGTTTCATGTGATATTTTCTTAATATACTAAACATTTCTCCCAGATGATCGACATGATGGCTGGTCCTGGTACTTTTTACGAGCATGTCATCGACGTAGACCTCCATCGTTTTTCCGAGCTGTTGAGCGAACATCTTATTCACAAGCCTTTGGTAGGTAGCCCCTGCATTTTTTAGGCCGAAAGGCATCACCTTGTAGCAGTAGAGACCCCTATCGGTTATGAAGGATGTGTGCTCATCGTCGGCTGGATACATGGGGATCTGGTTGTATCCGGAATAAGCATCCATGAAGCTCAGCATCTCATGTCCTGCTGTGGCGTCGACCATTTGGTCTATCCGAGGGAGCGAAAAGCCATCCTTTGGGCAGGCTTTGTTGAGATCGCTGAAATCGATGCAGGTCCTCTAGCTTCTGTTGGGTTTGACCACTAGAACGGGGTTTGATACCCAATGCAGGTAATGGGCCTCCCTTATGAACCCGTTTTCAATCAGTTTGTCGACTTCCTCTTTCAGCGCTTCGTACCTCTCTAGGTTCATCGATCGATGTTTCTGGCACTTGGGGGGAAATGAGGGGTCGACGTTTAAGGAGTGACATATTACATCGGCGTCGATCCCTTCCATGTCGGAATGATTCCACGCGAAGACATCTAAGTTCTTTTTGAGGAAGTTTTCGATCTCGACTTTATGTGGCGGAGCTAAGCCTGATCCTACTTTTAACACTTTGGTGGGCTTGTTTTCATCGACCTGGATTTCCTCCAACTGCTCGACGGGCTGAGACCATGTGATCTCTTCCTGGATCCTGGGATCAAGGTCCTCGACGGGGGCCTGGAGAACCATTCTAGCTTCCTGTCTTCCTGGCTGGTCGTATCCGCGCAGGGCGTCAGAATACGCGACCCTAGCCTCGTACTGGTTGCTCTTTATTTCCCCTACGCCGTTTGGGGTGGAGAATTTGACCTTCTGGTGGTAGACGGAGGTTATCGCCCTTAATGTCTGGAGGGTTGGTCTCTCGATTACTGCGTTGTATTGAGAGCCTCCTTTGATGACCACAAAGTTGGCCATCGTTGTCGCCTGTCGGGGTTTTTCTCCCGTGGTTATAGGTAGCCGGATAGTTCTTTGAGGGATGACGGAGTCTCCAGTGAACCCGTATAGTGGCCTGGAGGTCCTTTCCAACTGCCCCTCGTGGATCCCCATTTTTTCCAAGCAGTCAGAATATAGGAGGTCCACCGAGCTCCCATTATCCACCAAGATCCGACACACGGTGTGGTTCCCGATCATGGCTTCCACCACCAGCGCGTCGTTGTGGGGGAAATGAACTCCGCTGGCGTCATCCTCGTTGAAGGCCACGTCAGTGTGGCTGTGCCTTGGGGTTTTTACGGCGGAGACGCTCCAGAACCGTTCCTGGTAAACCCCCTTGGCCTCGTGGGCGTAGTCCTTCTGCGACCTCCGCGTGTCTCCTCCTATGTAGGGGCCGCCGAGGACCGTTCGTATGACGCCGACAGGTTCCCGATCTTCTAGGCGATGGTTCTCCTCTCGGCGTCGGCCGTCATTTTGCCCGCCATGGCCGTCGTTGTGGGGTCTCCGTTCGGCCCTGAATTCCTGCAGCCTTCCCTCGTGGATTATTCTTTCGATTTCATCCCTGAGGTCCGTGCAATCATTGGTGTGGTGGCCGACATCGCCATGGAACCTATAGAATTTCTTCGGGTTCCTTCGGCTGGGATCCGACTTCATTGGTTCTGGTCGGCGCAGCAAGTTTCTGCGGCCGACCTGGTTGTAGATCTCCTCGACGCCTACCGTCAGTTCATGGTAGATGTCATATTTTTGGAACAGCCGAGGCCTGCGGGCATCCTCATGCCTTGGCTTCTTGGCCTCTGGTGCTCCTTGCGTCAGGGTTGGTTGCTTGTCTCCGCTTCCCCCTCCTCGACGCTTCTTCCCGTCCTGCTTTGATGGTGCCGACCCCTGCTCGGCCCCTTTACCCTTATTGGACCTATGATCGGGGTCATTGGCATCCGCTTCTTCAGCATTGATGTATCCTTGTGCTCGTGCAAGGAACTCCTTGTAGCCGGACGGGGGTTTTCAATTCAGTTCCTTTTTTAAGGGAGTTATTTTCTTCATGCTGGATAACGCCCCCATCAAGACTTCTCTGTCCGTTATATCCATTGTAGCGGTGATAGCCTCGCCGTACCTGGCAAGCCACTCTCTTAACGTTTCATTTGGCTTTTGGTATATCGTCGTTAAATTCTGCTTCGGGGGTACGTATTTTTTAACCCCTATGAACTGGAGGGAGAATGCTTCTTTTAGCTCATCCCAGCTTGAGATAGAGTTTGGCTTCAGCGTCCGGAACCATCTTCGGGCAGAGTCTGTTAGGTGGTTCCGAAAGGCTCGGCACATGATCTCCTCGGCGTATCCGTGCAAAAGCATGTGCCTTGTGTACATTTCCAGATGGTCGTCGGGATCTCCTCGCCCGTCGTATGGTGGGATCGACGGCGACCTGTATTTGTCGGGGAGAGGAGGCGCCATTATTTCTGCGGTGAACGGATGGTCATGCGTGCGACTGGGCATAATGTCGACGTTTACCACCTCGGCCACCCATCCAATGTTCTTTTTCAGACCTGCCACGTCCCCCGTCAGCTTTCTTTCCAAGCTGGCCATGCGTTCCATGAGGGTTTGCACTTCCTCTGTTGAAACGACCGAGCCAGCAGCTCTCGGTGCTTTCGCCCTTTGAGCGATAGGTCCGCCCTTGGCCTGGCCGCCCGCCTGTACCGACCCTGAGTCTCCTGGCTAGTTTCCTCCGGGATTTTGGGGCAGCTCCTCAACAGCTCGGAGTCCGGCGGCTCTTAATCGGCTGCCGGAGGAATGGGAAGGTCGAGGCCTAGGAGGGCCCTGGCGGTTCTCGCTTTCCCCGATTCCTTCTTAGATATGTGGGTGGTTATCGTGATTCAGATTTTCCACCACGGCAGGTCCGTGCGGCCTCGGGGCATCTTCTAGTGGCGGTATGGAGTTCCTTCCATCTAAGCGCTCAACCACGGTCACCAGCCCACGTACCAACTCGGTCAGAGTGGTTATTTGAGCTTGCATATGCATCGGATCCGACTGTGGCGCGTCTGGAGGTGGGACTCCATTTCCTTCTAGGCGCAAATCTTCTCCCATCCCGCTCTTCTCTGGGTGGATGGTGGCTTGTAACTATATTTTCGGGGGTCGAGCGCTTTCGCTCCCCAGTGTAGTCGCCAATTGTTGACGGTTGTTTTTCGTCAACAAAAAACCAGCCGTGTTACCTTGAGGTTTCCCTTCGGGTTACCGACCTATGTGTTTAGTGAAAGAGTAGATACTTGCTGAATGTGAGTATTTGTTTGTTAAATGAGCTGTATGTAAACAAACAAAAGGAATTTTATAGTGGTTCACTCTGTAAAATTAGAGTTACATCCACTGTAAGTTTTGTATTTCTTTTGAGAGGGCCACAATTTACAAGTTATCACTCTCCCTTTTCCTCTTGTGCTTTTATTCTCTGGCCCCTCTCTCGGTGGGGGTCTTCATACTCTTATATTGGGCTTCCTTCACCTAGTGGTTTTCTTTGATCGGTGGAAACACTCAAGTGTTCTACCTTGGTAGGCCCAGATGTAGCCCACTAATCAGCACTGTTCACTCAGCCAATTAGTCTTCTATTACGGCTCTGTGATTCTCCGTAATGCTTTTCTGTCCCCTGTGGGGCGGTTTGAGAATTTGTAATTAATGCTGACAGACGTCTTCCACTTATGCACGCAACCCGTCATGTCTCAAAGGAACGTTCCCCTCGTCGCCAGCGCCATTTAGCCCCAGTCGTCCTCTCCGGCGGTCCTTTCTGTAGCCAAGGAATATCCATACCTTAATTCAAGCGGCACTATCCGTCGGCGCCACAAGGGGTCGTCGTCCTAATCCGGACTTTAATTATGGGCTTTGCAACTAATTAGGAACAAAATGTAGGCGCCGAGGGTTGTGTGCTTGGCGGAGAGCAGTTATGGCCACGTGTCGTGGTGTCGTTGATCCAGATGTCCATCACATTTTCCTACACAACAATTTTCATTTTTTGTTTTTCAAGAAATGCTGCCAAACGGCTTTCTCAGAGCATTTTCAGTTTTTGGATCTTGAAAAATGTGAAAAACGGAATCAAACAGGCCCATTATTTAGTTAAAAAACATATTTTTTTCAAAGTTGCTCCAATAATAATTCTCCCATTAATTTCCCATACTAGCCGTTGCTTAATGACATAAAAGTACTGCCTTTAGTTTTGTCACAGTAATTTTGTTGAATGCAAAGAAAGATCCTCTAGAAAACTAAAATGTAACACGAAATTTCTCTTATCCCCAAAAAAAAAAAAAAAAATGTTCATTCAAAGAGCATATTATTCAGCTAAATTATTTACATATATTATTGCTTGTAAACTCAAATAATATTAAATCAGCTTGTACAGGAACGACCTTCCTCAAACTTTTCAACAGGCACGGCATATGGGGAATTCCAGTCAGCCTCAAAAACTTCTTGAAGTTGATAAACAATGGCAGGATTGTAAGTACCAAAACTCACACCTGCTGTTGTGTAGAAGTAATCCCACACAAGATTGCTCGTCCCAATGTGGGCTCGGACATCGCTAACCGCATACTTTCCATGGTTGACCCTGGTATAAGCAGGGTAAGAATTTCCAGTCTTCTTTTTGTGGCTAATGGCGGGTCCCGTCGAGTTGAAACCTGGGACAACGTAGTATCTGATCTCCACTTTTCCAGAACACTTGTTGTACTTGGAAGAAGAGCAGAGAACGTTGGAGTAGAGGAGAGACTTTAGGTACTGATCTGTGTTGTCTATGGAATGTGCCCAGTATGCTACCAATATCTTCACTTTCGCATGCTTTCCGAACACAACCTGTTATTTATACGACTGAATTATAAGATCACGAAAGTAGAGAAAGATTGTTTTCGTAAGAGTAGTGCTATGGGCTCCCAACTTTTTTATACTAATTTACATGGCAGTGAGTTTTCATCTTTTCACCGGCAATTTTTTAAGCACGTAACAATAAAAAATCGAGATTCTTAGCCTTATTCTTTTCACGATGGTCGATGAAATAGTTGATGGGAATGGAATTTGACCTCTGATACTGCAGAAGAAAGGGATGACCAGTAAACTGTTTGCTTCGGGAATTCGGACTGACCAAGCCAGTCCATGGTACTTATCCTCAAAGTCTCTTTGCTCCCAACAGATCTAATAGTGTCCAACCATCCCTGTTCATCAGTCTGGTACCTGCCAAATGATAGCTGCTAACCACAAATGGCGTCAATATATGTGCAGAAAGAGTTAAAATTCAGAAAACGCTAAATATATACATGTCAATTTTTAGTACTATAGCTGTGACACACACATTTTTGCCCATATGAGTATAGTGGTCAATATTATGGGATTATCTGTCCTCTTTGTACGTAACAACATAATAGCTTCTCAACATGAAAAAACATAACAAATCAAAACTTTATACATTTTTGCTCTGTTGTATTTACCTCTGGAGGAGCAAAAGATAGATAGCTTGGCTGAGGCTGCGAAGTTGAATAGTTGCGTCCGGGAGTCTGAATTAGTAATTTGAACATGACAGGGTCATATAATATAGGATATCCAACTACATGGGGAATTTCCACAACTGGAGGAAAAGGTGTCCTGCAGTAGAATTTCACTAAACAGTTATCTAATTTACATGAATGACAAATCTATTCCGGTTTTAGTAAAACATACATATTTCACTTGGCTTCTTAGAAAACTTAAAACTAGACAACGAAGTTTTCAAGTGCGTTATCTAAACATGGAAATTTTAAAACGCTCCTTTTACCATCCCAAGTCATGAAAAGCTGATCTAGTAAGTATCTAGCATAAACTTCTAAACTCGGACTTGGTCTTTATTCAGAGTTTTGAACGCACCTACACCTCAGGTCAGTCTCAATGAAATGTGACCAACAAGGAACTTGTCTATCAACCTGCCACTGTTGATCTGATATCGTTCGAGTGAGGGCTGAAGAGTTGAGAGACGCAAGCGTCCATAGGTTGTCAAAGTACACCTTGACCTTTTTCGCTATTTTTGAACAACCAACAAGATAAATTCCAAGCTCTTTCACCTGTCACCATCATCCAACTATAAAGTTAATGTTTACAAGTTTTAACTAATATCCAACGTGTTGCAATAGAGTATGACTTAAGCATAGAAAGCAAACAGGATACACAGTAGAAGGAAGTTTCCTAGAGATTGAGTAACGTATATGCTTTCTCGTCCTGCTTGAGCAACAAATGGCCAAACTTAGACAACGAACAAGTAAATAATTTTATTCACACAAGGACTTGCTGTCCTAATGTCCCTAAACATCAAAATAAACGGTGAATCTATCAAATGTGGTACATATTTAACATTATTTCCGTCCAAAGATACACGTGATATGAATTCTGGATTCTGAATTCCTCTACCAGTCCGCGGATTCTCAAATACTCCAGGCCCCAATCTCCGAAGTTATCGACATTTTTTTTTTTTCCGAACAAAATTGTTCAAACGAAAATAAGAGGTCTTGCCTCTTGTAATCCATGAAGAAATAAGAAATAAAGATTACCCCAATGAATGTACCTGAGTAAGAGATTTCCAGTCATTGTTTGCGGATCCAATATACACATTTCGATGATCCGAAATCCATACTTTGGCGTGAACTATGCCTGATCCCCACCATTGATCAAGCAACAAAGTCACGTTCTTTACATTTGGCCTTCCTGAAGCGAGGTCGGATGGTTCTTTGCTAAAATCAGGATACACTCCTGAGTGTGACAGTAACCTACAACGAACTCACCAATGATTTTTTTTTTTTTAAGAAAAAAACATTACTTCAAATTTCTATTTAAATAGTTCAATTTTCAAGTTTCCTATTTAATTAGTTGAATCTCAAATTAAACAAAACCTGATAGTAACATTGTGATCAGCGGCTTTCTCTAGGGCTTTATAAACACGAGCGCCATCGTTAGCTCCGAATCTCTGCATATCCTTCTTGGAGTATCCGTAATCGCCAGAACGAAGATCTTTTGGCGTCGCCACTAATTGCCAGTACTGTGCGATTATGTCCAGACGATGAGAAGAATTCCCGGCCAACCATCGGAACACATCGGCTGTGCACAATAAAACAGCAAAAAAGTTTAAATTGGTGAAGGAACAAGGGTTTTCTTCGGTTTCAGTTTTTTTTTTTTTTTTCTCGGAAGCCAAACAGGGGAAAAGAGAAGGGAGTGGGATTACCGGTGGAGAGGACGCCGGGGACCTGACGGAGGTGGGGCATGTCGGTGGGGATTGATTGGACGAGCCAAGCTTTGCATTTCGGAGAAGATTCGGAGAGAGTTGAGGGAGAAAGATTGGATAAGAGAAAGATGATAATAGCAATGCTGGTTCTACTGTGACAAGCTCTCATCTTGTGTTCTCTCTTCTCTTCTTAGTTCGTGTGCATAAGCCGGTCCTCAACTATATTCCACTGATGAGAGAGATAAAGTCAAAGGAGGGGATAAGGGAGATTCGGGAAAATGTACAGGCCGCAGATTCTTGGGGCGTTTAAACGTAAAACGTTCATAATTCCCGCTATTACATATAACAAAAATGACTCCTCAGCCCTCTTTTTCAAAATAGTAAATAGCTCATTTATAAAATTAAATTAAAAAAAAAAAAGCATCTTTTACCATTGATAAAAAATCTTATTTACATAAAAAAAATATATTTTTATCAGTCATAAAAAAGTTTACATCAAATTTTTTTTTACCAGTTATAAATGAATCAATAACACAGTAAAGTTTACTTTAAATAATTTTAAAATCTGTTAGTTATTTAATTTAATTTTAAAAATTAGTTATTTATCACATTATTTAAAAAATACAACTCAAAATAATACTAACATTTGTGTCACAAAGTGGCAAAAAAAAAAAATAATATGCCTTTTATTATAATAAGCGGCACAAATTTATATTTTGAGTGGTATACATGCAAAAACAAAAAGAATGATTGTACTGGTAATTTATTCGGATATAATTGATACATTTGGACCTCTAAAGACCAAAATGCTCATTTTTTTTCTTTTATATTTTGGAGTGAAATAGGTGCTGTAACCCATCTATGTCAATTTCACTCATACAACTTACAAGTAGTGCAATTTATTTTTCCCCTTACAAACACAAGACAGTTGCTTAATTTTTACTTCTTTTTTTTTTCTCCAGCCATCTATTATCTCCTAACCTCCACCAAATCCATTACCAAATTACCAAAAAGAGAGTTAGTGTCACTGAAATTGATTACCCCCAGAACCAAAAGCGGCGGATCTTGTAGCCAAAGAGCCCAGTGTGCATATCAGTATCAGAGTCGCAGTTAGAAACAATGTACTCATCTTCAGTTCTCTGCTACAATGAACTAGCTGGTAGATAAATAATGAAATACAGAAGATAATAATATTACAATTGGACAGACAGACTGATGAGGTTAGACAAGCCACACCAAAATGAACTGATTCAATATTTACCATGTAAAGCCCTCCTATATAGCAGCAATTTTGTAGATAGAAAAGTGAATTCACCATTAGCTAAACAACAAAATCCCACCACTTTTTTTTTTTTTTCTTTTCTACACTTGGCTTATCATTTTTCCTTGGCCAGTTCTCTTCTTATTAGAACCCCAAAATACCCCCACTTTTCTACGAGATGGAATGCCTCCTCTGTCTTGAAGATGAACCAGAGGACTTTGTATCCCCTGGAGCCAAAGAGGTTGGACTCTGAGAACTCACAGAGGTCTCAGAGCTCCTATTCTCACCATGTCCCTTGCCAACAGCCCATAGTTTGTCGAATATTCGTCTTGACCGAGAAGGCAATAGTTGCACACCACTCCTGCTGTTTTTGCTGCTCTTCTTGGCCAGTTTTCCATTCCTGTGGACCTCCTCATTTAGCTTCATCCGGCTCATCGCATTCTTGAGGGAGTTGCATTTTTCTGCTGCAGCTACAGGCTTCTGACATTCTTCTTCGGACTGTGTATTCAGTGTAGAGGAACGGGAGGCATCATGGGGGTGATGATTGTTAGCAGGTCGTGCGGCAGAAGCCCTGACCTGCTCAAAGAAGAGAACTTGCACCACCACTCGAAGTGGAAGCCGGTCATTTTGGGCAGCGTGCATTGACGCGTTTATTGTCAACTTCTTAACATCCATTAGTCCGCAGATTTTCTTCCTGTCAGCTTTTGTCAAGATTGGGTGCTCCTGAAACAGTAAGCAATGAATATTTGACATGACTAATGCCTTAAAGTACAGTTGATGATGAAAGAAGGAAAGAAATAAAGAAATGAATACCTTCAAGTAAATGTCAATGGCTTTGTATAATCCGTCGTGAATAGGCCTTGCTGATTCAGGAATCGACTTTGACAAGTCTACAAAACTGGAGAGGGTAAGATTTGGGTCCCGTGCTATTTCTGCAAGATACCCATCAATCAGTCTACCAACATTCAATAAGGAACCGCTCCCTAAGATAAAATCATCACTGCCCTTCTCATTCTTCTCAAGGGCATCCAAACCCCGACTGCGCTTTTTTTCGTGCATTGTGAATTGGTTGACAATGGTTTGAACCAACTCAACATCATACGTGGTAATCTGGGGAGACCTTGCTGGGATCAATAAATCGTTAACGCAAGCTTCATGCAACTTTAAGCCAATCCTACTAATCAAATCTTCCCTCAACATCTCGTCTGCTCCGACCAAAATAGCAACTTTTAATAGTTTCAGCAAGAAACTACATGAACAACCCATACATTTGTCGGATGGTAATAAGCAAATTATTGTTTCTACAAGAGATTTGTTCCTCCTGGAATGAGCCTCAGAAACTAATGCATCAATGGAATCTGGCAGCCATCTTACTGCATATGTTTTCAGTGCCTCCCCAATGACAGCACCATTCATTCTACCCTTAGACTTCACGGCAATCATGACTCTTTTGTAGAGATCAATATCCAGTTCACATATGTCCTCAACCCACCAATCCATTGGAACGGATTCTGTTTTTTCTCTAAACTTCATACCGTCTTCCACAATCCTGTCGGGCTCTGCTAATTTCCGGTTAAACGTGTAGGACCAGGTGATGTTAGCCGGTTCCCAAGATGTTTTGGACGCTATGGAATCAATGCATCTTCCCACAATCTTCAGATCCTCTGACCACGGTAAAAGGGATTTTGTGGTTTGCAGAACAATAATGGAATCTTTCCAGCTACGTAAGATGCTTGAGTTGAGAAACACCTCGATTTTGAATATCAAGTTACCTCGATCAATGTCCTCAGTCATCTCTAGACACTCAGCTGCGCATCGAGCAGCCACGACATTATAAGCATTGAGGGTAACAGTCATGCCATAACAAAATTTTGCACAAATTTCAAATGCTTTTGGTCCACCAGGGAAATCAGCCATATGAATTTCTTCATAATTCTCTTCACTGGCTTTCAACACTAGTTTTTGCAACCGACTGCTCTTGGACAAGAGAGGGAACTGTAACAACATAATTATGACGATGCAAGTGAGATCAAAGAAAGTTAATTGCCTAAGAAACCCTGAAAGGTCCATATTATTATAGTTGATTCTCGATTGTACCATCAACTTCAAACAAAATACTAATAACAGAGTCTGTTTTTTAAACAAAGACCACAATAAACTTTAATAGGCGTTTTTCCAATGTTCTCATATCGATTCAAAAGCTGTTAAAACCTATTCCATGCCATGCACTAACGTTCAGAGAGACGGTAATGATTTCTATAATTCAAGGAGGAAGAAAGAGGAAAGGAGCCATCGAGCTAGATATAAATCATTGAATATCAAGTTTGAACTTCCAACTAAAATACAACGTTAACTTGGCTAAGTGACAAACATAAATCACTTTCCCAACAAGTGATATGGAAAATCACAATATCCTGAAAATTTCGACAAATGGGTCATGGGTGCATCAAACTAATGTTCACAGCTCATCTTTGCATATAAATGGAAAAAAGAATCAAACATCAGCATTAGAAAATCAATATTCTCTCACTTAAGGCATGCAAGATAGCAAGATAGCAAGATAAACGTACCTTGTGAAGGTGAAACTTGACTTCACCAACATTTATGGTGACATCTGTTGCCAAATCAGATGAAACGTACCTGCATGAATATAATGAAACATTCCTAACGTTAAATAAAGTAGGGGTCAATCAATGTAACAGAAAACAGAACTTGGCTGTATTACAACACTATATGTGAACTCATATAAAAACAAATTTCAGTGACACAAAAACTGAAATACTAGTAACGGTTCAAAACCTACGAGCCTAAGCAGAGGTTTCTCATTAACATTTACTTTACGTTACAAGGCGCAAAAAAAAATACCACATATGATTGATGGAACCAATGTCATTGTTTAACAAAGAATGTCCCCACCGTGAATGATTAAACACCGTGGGTACACCATATGACTTTACCATATTTGGACCACAAAGCTCATTAAATATTGACAATTTTAAAGGCTGGACCACATCCTGAGAGACCCTAGAAAACCCCCTTTATCCACCCCCTCGGAATAATTATTGTAATAAGTAACAATCTCTACATAAATAACAAAAATGGAAAAGACCCATGTCCATGTGCTTTTCTTCTCTTTTCTTGATTTCTTTTTCCTTAATATTAATTATCAAAGGTTACGTTTTTAATCTTTTACATCTCAATCTACTTCAGTACAGATCACCTTCCTAATAATTGTTTCGCTTTAACCAGCTGAAAGTTTTTCACTTATCTAAGTTTATACAAAAAGTTCAAATGCAAAGGAGAGATGACAAAGTAAATAATTTAAAATAATACCTAAGAAAAACGAATGAATCCATAGACCCGAAAGACGAAAACAGATCAAAACAGAAGGAAAGAAAGAAGAATTAACGAATGAATCAGAAGAAAAAAAGATGCTTGTTTCACTAGAAAGTAAAGAAAAGAAGATTGAGTCGAAAGGCAAGAAACAAAATAGTTAAAGAAAAGAAGATTGAGTCGAAAGGCAAGAAACAAAAAATAGTTGCTTTACCTGACAGATTTTCCGTCAGCTTGGAAAGCATCAGGTTTGGACCCCAACTTCATGAACTTCATTTTTTATACCTCTGAGAAGAACACAAGAAATTACAGAAGAAGAAACCTTCAGACAGGTACTACAGAGAGCAAACGTTTTTTTTTTTCCTTTTTTTTTTTGGCTCTGAAACCGCAGCGAGTACCGGCGTTTTCGCCCCCAAAACGGCGGGATTCAGCGGCTTCTTCGTCTCTTGCTCTGTCCCCTTAAACCTCAACCAGACAGAGAGAAACCAAAAACCGAGACCATAAATGGCGATTCTTCAATGAGGCTCTGCAAATCCCGCTCTCAAAAAACACGCAACCACCGGACCATCACAGTAGTGAACATTGATGAATTCTGGACTCCAGACAATCCCTGCCTTTGCTTGCCTGCTTGCTTTGCCCTTATATCGCCGTCTCGATATTCACGTTCTTCGCATCAATTTCGAGCCTTTATGATAACATTGATGACGCTCTTTTAGCCAGCCAAATCATCATTCACTCCCCCACCCTCTTAGCCCGGGAAAATTATTAAAAAATGAAAACGAAAACTTTTTTTACAATTTTAGAGAGAGAAAATGATGAAGAGAGAAAGAAATGGACATACTGTTTGGAGAGATAGAAAATTGGCGTCAAAGAGGGAGGGAGGGAGGGAGAGTAAATGCAATTCAAGTCTTCTGTTTCTCTCTCTCGTTTTTTTCTCTCTCTAAAAAGCTCATCATAAATTCTCGCCGCCTTTGCTTTAAATCACCCTGATCCGCTGGAGATCTTTCTTTTTTCTTTTTTTTTTCTTTTTTTTTTCTTTTTTTAAATAAATAAATTTTCTTTCTTGTTTTCTCTCGTAGCGCAAATCTCAATGAGCGACTCTCCTTCCTTGCTCTCTCTGATCGGTGTGGCTCTGACGCAGCTGTCCCCTTCTCGTCTGAGAAATTTTCCAGCAAAAGAAAGAGAGAGAAAGTGAGGGAAAGTAGGAGAGAGAAAGTGATTGTGTGTGTTTGGGTTTAAAGTGTGACTCTGTTCGTGTGTAGACGGAGTAGGGGACTGTGATACAGGGTGGCGCAGAGGACTTTTAAGGAGCCTTTTGTGCCGTTAAAGCACGCCACCTTTTTTTGACGATTTTGCCCCTGCTCCTTTTCTCTTTTCTCCGTTTTACCCCCTCCGTCTTCGTGCCTGCAATTGGTAGCTAGCTCTCCATGTTCATTTTTACCGCTTTTGACGCGTAGCATTTGTCTTTTGACTTTTTGACGCTACGAATACATAGATATCGAATATAAAATTGGAAGGGGAAACATTGAGAGGAAAATGCTTTTGCCCAATGGCTTATCACGTTGTAAATTTTTACTCTATTTTAAGCAGTTCTATAAAATTCAACCACGCGTTACCTTTTTTGCCCTTTTCTCGTCGTGATGCTCTTGCTAACTTGTCTAAATACAAACTGTTGTAATGTATACTATTTTATCAATTTTATTCTATTTTTTTCTGTTAGATTTTAAGGATTAAGTATCGGAGTATTAAATGGTTGTTTTTTTATATTTTTGAGTTACGGTAATTTACGTGATGATTTTTAATTAAATTTAAATTATAATTTGAGTTAAAGTTATAATTTGTGTTTGTGTTTAGATGTGTATATTTAAGTTATGATTTGAATTGAAAATCTTTTTGAGTTTGTATTTAGGTGAATCAAAACTTAATTTGTATTTAGATAGTATTTTAATAAAAACTCAATAGTGATAACAAATTTTAATAAGGTATACAGGTGAGGTTTTATTCGTCTTTTCGTTGTGCATGTACAGAAAAAAAATTATCTTAATCATAATTAAAATGAAAAAGTTATGACATTTTTAATAATATAAAAAATATTGTTTATTAACTTGAATTCGAGTTTATGAACTCGAGTTGAAGAGGAAACTTAAACTCGAGTTTAGTCCCAAACTCGAGTTCAAACTCAAATTTTATAAAAGAACATTAACTTGAATAAAGTTGTAACTCGAATTTAAATTTTTTCTGAGTTTCGTTGTAAAAGAACAACCCTTAAGATTTTTATGTTTTGTTCAAAATTTTGAGATGTTAAAATTTTTTATCAAATGTGTTTTCTTATTAGAATTTAACACGATAATCATCAAAATGAACAATATTAAAAAATTTTACAAATTCAGCAATCAATTGTCAAAATTATAAATTTAATAGTAAGTTGTCAAAACCCCATAAATTCAGAAGATAAATGTACAAAATACACATTTTTAATTCATCCACTTTCAACTAGTTATTTTCAACAAAGGTGTAACATGTAAAAATAACACACACAACATTATATTTGTTTTATTATCTAACATTCATAATCATATTTTACCAATAATAATGTTTCAATTAATAATAAAGTTTATTTATTGTAATAAATTTTATATTTCTTGAAAATTGTTAATATATTTTTTAAAAAGAAAACGTTATAATTATGAAATAAATATCACGTTATATATATTTTTATATGTTAGCAGTGCAGGACTTTTTTTTTTTTTTTTTTTTTTTTTTTTTTTGGGGGGGGGGAAAAAAAAAACCAGTCCTTTTTTTTTTTCTTTTTTTTTTTTTTTCTTTTAGCTTCCCTTTTCAAAAGAGGGCAACTTCAAAGTTCAAACTTGCATTAGCAGTCAAGTTTTAAGCAAAAAACAATAAAATAAAAGTAGTTGGAGTTTTGCATTCCACTATTATATTCGTGCCACTAATCTCTTTGTATATTGCATTTTTAATTTTTATAGGTGTTTTATAATTATATATGTGATAATTATATAGGTTTATCGACCTATAATTAGTAAAAGATTGCATTAATCATGTTATTTTACTGGTTTAAATCACAATTCAAGTATTTACTGTAATATTTTCTCTGATAAAATTTTAAATTTAACTTATTATGCTACAATATTTTTTCTTATATGAATTTATTTTTTAACTCAAATTCTCAACTCGAAATAAAAAAATGTACAGGGCCTATAGTTTATTCCTAAAGGAAAATTCTATACATTAATTTTTTTTTCCTCTCTGAGTATGTGTTTATTAGGTGAACTCTCATGTTAATTTCATATAAAAATATCCCTAAAAACTACAGAAAAATGGTATATCCCTTTACCAATTTGTTCTACATGAAGAAAATTTGATTAAAAAATACTTTTGCGGGAAGAAATTAAAATTATATTATCTCAAACGTTGTACCGACCACCCCTTATCATAGGTGAAAGATTCCTTCTGAACGTGATTAGTGCAGTAAAAATCTTTGTTATGATACTATATATCAATTAATTAAGCATGTGGTTTCTAATAATCCAATCATTTTATTAGGCTATTCCAACCCCACCAAAACTACCTACAGCAGTCGGGTTAAACCAATCATTAACGACTAGCATCGTGAATCAGATCCCAAGCACTATTAAATAAATATAATAGCCCATAGATACGAGTAAAACGACAACTTTTAAGTTTATCACTAGAGACTTACGTTGTTTAATTAAGCTAACTTGCAAAACAAAACTGTTATTTATTTAATTTTTTTTTTATATAAGAAAGTCTCAGTGTTTCACTTTACCTTACGCAACACCTAATGCATGAGGGTCAACTTAGTGAAAAAATGGAAAACTTGTACGTCTTATGGCTTCAACACATATATATTCTTACATTTTATGCTGAGTAGATCCACTCAACTGTATCTGTGTGTGTTTTTTTTTTTTCAAAAATTAAAAACTGTGTTTGGTTCATGGATTAGAACCATGTGATTAGAATTATTTTCAGTTTACGTGTATTTTTTATGAGAGAAAATACTGTAGCGAATCACGAACCATGATTCAAATCAGGGAACGAATCTCTCTACCAAACATCATAATAAAAGATGTCAGTAATCTTATTATTTGAAATAATCAGGAATATTATATAATTCCAACGTAAATTGAACAAGTTTATGAACTTCTCCGCATATGATTTTATTTTATTTTAATTTCCCTAGCAATTGTGGTCCTTTTGTGTCTTGTAAATTATTGTAATCGTAAAAAAGAATATGCTTGAACTTTCTGCAGCGTTTCCCGTCATAAGATTCGAGTATGAAATCATACTTGCTTTTTTAAGGTTCTGTTTATTTTATCGATTTGAGTTTTATTGTAGTAAAAAATTATCATAAATAATTGCATATCCGTTTAGTTCGTTGATTCGAATTTTTAATTCGAGTTGAGATGTGACTTTATGTGAGAGCTTTTTATTGTAACAAAAAAGTTAGATGTGACTGTTTCTGAGAACTTTTTACTGTAGCAAAACTCAAATTCTAAACTCGAATCGGTGAAATGAACGAAACATTAATTTTTTTATTACAGTAAAAAGCTTTCATATAAAATCACATTTTAACTCGAATTAAAAATTTAAATTAGCGAACTAAACGAGCTCTAAATACACGTGGTATTTTGCCTTTTGAACTGGGAAATTATTTATGGCCAAATTCTATAAAACCATATTATTGCTCGGGTCTCAAATTTCGACTGATCAAGCAGCCTCAAGGGTTATTCTTCACAAGTCGCATGAAAACAATACCGCTCGACAAGACTCACTTTTTGCAAGTTAAAGCTGGTATTTTGGATTAAAAAAAAAATTTGACTATCTTTTTTTTTTTTTTTGCTAATAAAAAAAATTCACTAGTTGGATACGTGCTAGTATATACAACTGCTGCTTGACAGTTGACACACACAGATTAAAAATAAAATAAAAAATAAAAAAACTTGCACATTGCACATGTTGGCCTTGAAAGCATTTTCTTGACATACAACAATGAGTTTAAATTCCCACATTGTTTCTAAAAAAAAAAAAAAACTAACATTGTTTTTAGCTTTCAAAATATTTGGTACAATGAATAATTCATAACTTATAGCTAGTTTCTATTTTTTAATTAATTTTAAAAAATATTCTGTTTGATTTACAAATTTAAATTTTATAAAAATACTGTAATAATAACATATAAAAAACGTATCCCAATCACCGCACCCTCCATACGCTTAAATGCTCCATATAGTGTTCTCTGTTTTCCACCTTTTTTTTTCTTGAAGAATATGAAAAAATTATAAGATACGTTTAGTTCATTAATTAAAATTTTTAATTTAAATTAAGATATAATTTTATGTAAATTTATTTTATTATAATAAAAAAATTAATTATAATTATTTTTAAAATTTTTTATTATAATAAAACTCAAATTTTAAATTTCAATCATTAAAATTCAAAACCTCCACTGCACATCCACTCGATTTCACACGACACACACGAACAAAAGGAAAAAAGAAGTACCAACTTCTATCGAAGGGCTAGAGAGCTATCTTTACTTACAGAATAGCCATAATCTTTTTACTGATAATGAGCTGGGAAGATGTCATGCACGGCAGCCTTGTAACATCAGCAATTTTTATTTATATTTTTCAAACAAAAGTTGGAATACTGTTATCATTAGAGCTAAGATTGTAATTATTTCCCCAAAATAATCAAGTTATCCTACGAGCCTATGTTTTGATTCTTTACCCTTTTTTCTTTTCTCTCTTTACCCCTTTTGTTTCCTGAATTCCTGTTTTCTGTTCAGCCAAAGAAATTGGTCTTCCTTCTTTCACCGGGGCATGGTTACAGCCTCACTTTACGAATTTAAATTTTTAATTTAAATAAAAATGTGATATTTTTTAAAAAAATTTAATTATAATAAAAAAAATTAAATGTAATATTTTTTAAAATTTTTAACTGTAAAAATTAAAAATTAAAAATTAAAATTGATAAAATAAATAAAACTATATTCCTTATCCACTTATTATATATATATATATATATGTGGTCCATCTATCATCTACTTCATGGTCCCAAAGGCTACTTATAATGTGTGAAGTTTGGAGTAGAAAAATGGTAGCTAGTAGGGGGACCCTAGCCTTGCACATGTGTCCCGCTTAATTACTCAGACCAAATGACCCTTTCAGATTCAGTCCCTCGCCACCTTTACAGCTGCGACATGATTGCCCCGGCAG